AGAGATGGCACACTGCAATCCCTTCTCCATTCTACTCTTGGGATTTTGGGCAGGCATGAACACGCACCCAGCCTGAGTTTCAAGCCTCTGGGTCCAAGACTTGAACTGTGGTTGGCCATGTGGGAGTCCAGTGATGTAACCATTATGCCATCTGTTGGTCCTAAGAATAGCTTTTTTTTTTTTGGCGAGGTTTTCGCTATAGGGCGCGGGTGCTCACCAGACAGACAGAGAGAGACATAGAGACAGAAAGAGAGAAATCACCCCCCAGAGGGGATAGTCATGCCGCAATCCCTTCTCCTCCATTCTCCTCTCGGGATCTTGGGCATGCACACACGCGTCCGGCTGAGTTTTAACGGGACGCGGTCGACTACGTGGGAATCCAGCGACATAGCCATTACACTAACTGCTGGTTCCCAAGAATAGCTTTTAAAACTGACTCCAGGGCCAGTCAGTGGTGTGGAAGTTAAGGCACTGGATTCCACATAACCAACTCTCTGCAACTTGAGTCCTGAACCTGGTGGTTTGAAAATCACACTAGGCACATTTGCATGCATGTTCAAAATCCTGAGAGGAGACTGCAGGAGAAGGGAATACAGAGTGGCCATTCTTCTTTGGTGGTGATTTCTCACTTTGCCCCTCCCTTTGTCTCTCTCGGGCAAATGTGTGCCCTATAGCAAAGAGCTAAGGGAAAAAGTCTCTAGAAGTAACCTACTGAATGCTCCCAGTAAAACTGCCATTTGCATTATGTTTAAAGTGTTTTTCAAAAATTTATTTTCCTGGTGTTACACAGATGACACCATATTTGGGAGGACAGAAGCCACTTGGGAGCCCCAGGTTTGGTTCCAAACCAGCCTCAAATCTCTCAAAGAGAACTCTTCCGACCAACAAATGCAAGCCTGAACTGGTACTATCTCACAGGGAAAAAAAAATTTTAAACTCTTCCAAACCCTATTGCACAACAGTTAAGCACTGTACATATGGAGCTGGATCTCTCGTGACCAATCACTACAAATTCTGACCCCTGTGGCTTGAAAAACATGGCAGGTGTGTGTGCGTGCTTGCCCCAAATCCTGGTGGGATGGAGTACTTGCCCTTACACACACTTGTGCATTCTCCCTTGCCCCAGGGCACAAGGCCTCTGGCCAAATAAAAAAAACCAAGAATTTAAGTGGACAGACATCAATGGTCTTCATAAGAATTTCAGTATGGGTCTCTGTGAATAGGAGTTTACATATACAATATAAAAATGATCATGAGAGAGGGCCAGCAGGTGGAGTGGTAGTTGAAGCACTGAACTCCCACATGACTGACCACAGTTTGAGTCCTGGACCTGGCAGCTTGCTTTCTCACTTTCCCTTTTTTTCTCTCTGGTCAAATTAAAATAATAATAATAAAATAAAATAATAAGTATATTTTAAAAAATGACCATGAGAATTCTAATTTATTTCAGTGGTTCCATTATTCTTTTAGCTTCCCAGATATAAAACTTTGGAGATAACAGGTTTTTACCAACCCTATTGTTTTCTATAGTTAATCAATCACGGTGTTCTAATATTTCCTCTTCTAGAATGTCTCTCTTATCTTTATATCCTGCCAACTATTTCTTCCAATGGTCTCTGAGGTTCTTCATGTAATTTTTTAAAGAAGTGCTAGAGGCAGGTGGCATAGTGATTAAGGTGCTAGACTCCCACAGGACCAATTCCAGTTTGAATCCCAGACCTAGCAGCTTACTTTTTCATTTTTTCTTCTCTTTCTGTCTCTCTGGTCAAACTGAAAAAATAATAATAAATTAAATTAATTATTTGTAAAAAATATACTAAATAAATGTCACATTTCTTTAAAAAAAAATTTGCTAGAGGAATGTGTGCTTGCCAGAAAGAGACAGAGATTGAGGGGCAGGGGATGCTCCCCTTCTCCCCCACTGGAGACAGTCACACTGCAATCCCTTCTCCTCTATCTCTCCGATTATGGGTACACACACGCAAACACCAGGTACGTCTTTTCAGGTTTCTGGGTCTAGCACTTGTATCACACAGCTATGTAGGATCCAGCACCTTAACCATCATGCCACCAGCTAGCCCTCTTCATATAATTTTATGTGAATCTTTACATCAGAGATATAGCTGCTGAGGAAAATTAAAAATATAAAGGATAATACAATAATCACCAGTGCAACTCCATCAATAAGCAAAATGATTAACTTTTTGTTACAATTATTTTAGATCTTTTGACAAATATTTCAGTTAAAAAAAGTATCTTTTGAATATAAAGCAAAACTCCCAATTTCAGAAGAATACACACAAAAGAAATGCTATGACTATTAAAAAGAACTTTAAAAAATAAGTTTGCTATAGGGCGCATGCACCTGCTGGAGAGACAAACGGAGAGAGACAGAGGGAAAGTGAGAAATCACTCCTTAGGAGATGGCCACACCTCAATTGATCCTCCTCTTGGGATTGTGGGCATGCACACACACACACACACACACATATACACACACACAAACACACGAACCTGGAATATCTTTCAAGTCACCAGGGACCTGAATCATGAAGTTAGTCACATGGGATCAAGCAACCTTAGCATGCCACCAGCTGGCCCTAAAATAATAAATAAATAAATAAAACCACTTTTCAAAGCATGGAAAATACTTCTGAGGTGTTGTGCCAAAAAAAAAAAAAAATCCCACCGAGAGAAAAATGTATAATCCATTTTATAAAAAGGAAGATAATTATCAGCTTTTAAAAAGCCTCAGAAGAAACATAAATTGAAATAAAATATCAACAGGTGTTGGGTTTTGTTTTTGGTTTTTTGCTTGGGGGATTTTATAATATATTGACATGTGATTTTTACATTTTTTCACATTTTCTCTATTTCTTACAGTGAACATGCAGTATTTTTAAATTCAGAAAAAATGTTATTTTGGGGCTGGCAGGTAGTATGGTGGTTAAGGCGCTGGATTCCCACATGGCCAAACAGTTGGAGTCCTGACCTGGAAGCTTGCTTTCTCACTTTCTGTCTCTCTCTGGTCAAATTAAAATACAATAAAAGTAAATAAATAATTCGTTTTTAAAATGTTACTTAAATAATTATTTCATTTATCACTACTTGTGCATTCTCATTGCTCCCATCTACATACCCTCTCCTCACCTCCAACATTCTCTTCCTTGTGGTCTCAGAGCCATCTTCTCCCCAACTCTAACACTACTTGTACTCATGCTCTTAAAATTCTCCATTCATCCTTATCTATATAGAACATGCAAGCAGAGGCTGGCCGTATAAACAATCAACTTAGATGGGGTTTCTCAACCTCAGCACTACTGACATTTAGGGTAATCATTTCTTATGAAGGGGCTGTCCTAATGTAGGATGTTTATCAGTATTCCTGGCCCCTATCCAGTAGATTCCAGTAGCACCCCTCCCCCACAATGTGCCACTGCCAAATGTCCCCTGGTTGGGGGGAAAGGGGGTCAAAACTGCTCCCATTTGAGAAGCATCCAGCTAAAAAATTTAAAACTTCTAAAATCCTAAAATCTGAAACCCAAAACTTTCTGACATGTGGGATGCTCTTCAATCTTGCTCCACATCATCTTGTTTTTCTCAACAGAAACTTTCCAACTAAACCAGGCAGTAAGTTCCCGAGAAAAATTATTTGCATTCCCAATTCCAAACCTTGGATCACACTATTTCCTCACTAAAATTCCCCATCTACTCTTCTATTCAAATGCCCTACATAAATCCTTCAATTGCTGGTTCTTTGCAGAAGCTTTACTCAAGTCAGTTCAACAAATGTCCAACTGTTCTGGTGAAGAATATCACATATATTTTGGCTGTTGTTACTCTCGTACCCAAAACTATAATAGATTAACCTTCTTAAGATTTGTGGTCTGGACACATTTCTTTTGTAGAGCCAACTGGGTTTAACATTGTGCTAGGCATAAAGGCCAATTAAATTATTATTTATTTTCTGATTAGCCTACTTTGAAAACTCTACTGTATAACCTGCTTCTTTCTTATGAAATAATTTTTCTTTTAAACTTGTTTCTTGTCATGGAGCCATGGTTAAGTGTAACCATTCCAGTTATAAATACTAAGAATAAAAAAAACTGTAAGAATAAAAACAGTCATGTTTAATGTCTTAATTTAAAGGAACACATAGGTATCTAACTGCTCTCTACACTTTCAGGAAACGATACAAAGGAATTAAAACTATCAACTACCACACACATATGAACCTTGTGAACTCTATCTTAAGCTATTGGGTGGACCTTTTGCTCACGTACAACTTAAGTATGGTGAACAAGAGCAGAGAATTTGATCGGTGTGTGAAAAATGTAGGTGTACACAAAGACACACACCCATATATCCAAAGCTGAAGTAAATGAAAGCATTTTGTCAACTAAAAAGAGCCATATATTAAGGACTGTTAAAAAAAGCCTGGGAAGGCCTGCTTGGGTTCCAATTACATCAAAACCTTGTACAAGTTACTCCCCCTGCCTCAGTTCCCTGGCTGTCAAAAAGGGTATCTGAACCCAAGCCCAGCTCTGGAAACAGTGTTTGGCTCACAGAAAGGGCAAAATAAATACTATTCATAACTAAGATGTTGTCCACAGGTATTAGTCAAGGAGAAGTCTTCACATATAAAGTTATGATTCAAATTTGAAGCTGGTTAAAAAAAAAAAAAAAAAAAAAAAAAAAAAACCTCACTGGATACATACTTTACACGTTTGATCTACTAGGCGAAATAGTTTCTCAGAATTTTTCCAAGTGCTAAACTAGTGATAACTATAGAATTAATTTCTCCTACAGTCTTTTTTTCCTTTTTTTTTTTATCTGCAAATAAATGAACAGACACCTCTGTTTTCAAAGAGCTTTATAGCCACAAGAAAACAAATCGACTCTTTGTTATCTCCAAATATTTAAGTCAATTTAACGGCGAGAGTAAAAGGCTAGGTACTGTTCCAGAACAACTTTTCAGAAAACACAATGAGGTTTCTTACGTCGCGATCAGCAATTCTTATGCAGCTATGTCAAGTCTCGGTCAGGAGAAACAAAGCTCATCTGTCAGGGAGCCGAGGAGCCGTCAGAAAACAAGGAAACGCCACGGCCAGGCCTAGGCGGCTCTCGGGAGAACCTGCCCTCACACAGCTCGCCTCGCACGCGTCCAGTCCTTCCCTGCCCGCCGGAGGTCGACTCCACCCGGAGGTAAGTGACAGCAGCTTTCGCCCACGCCTCTCCCCGCCCGGACCCCGGGCCCATCCGCGCGGGCCGCAGCGCCCACTGCACG